CACTTCTGCAATTAGGAGGGAAATCCAAATAATCAATATTATCTTTGCAAATACATTAAGGACAAGTACCTTCTGTACTGGGTTGCCAGTCTTGTCCATCACCACTTGAATCTCCTTCACTAGTCAGTATGGAATGACTGGAGTCGTCATCTTGGTCGAAGTCCTGATATATCACAAAATAAAAATTAACTTACTCAATGTAATGCTTTGTTAGTAGAGTGAATATTGTTTTTTCTAGGCTAAAGTTTCATGTTGTGGATTCCATTTAAATTTGAAGAGCAAAATACAGGGAAAACATCAAAATATGAAGCTCAATGTTGAAATCACGTAGACACACAGAAATTCTGTATTTTAAACTTTAAAATTACAGCCTACATGCTGTTAAGTTGTTATAATTTCTGACTGGATGGGTAACTGGAAAGAATCCTTTGATCACAGTTACAAGTGAACAGCCCCAAAGGAACATGATCTTTTCCATAATGCTTCTCTGAAGCATCATTTAAAAATGGTGAAGATGGAAATCCCTGCCCATGTAGGACCTATGATATTAACTCTAGACTGAAGGAAGGGAGCAAAGCTGATTAAACTTTACACTGTGACAGCTTTCTGATCTAGTCATGGCACACATCCTCTCAAACATTTTTTGCTTTTTACCCTCTAGAAAACAGTCGCTATGCTGAAAAACAGCTGAAAGACAACTGGATTCATAAAAGGTCCTCCTAACTCCCTTAGGAAGAAATGTTTTGTAATTAGGACTCTTTTTCATTGATAGGTTACTTCATTAGAAAATATTGCTGGTGATTTTGTCCTTTTTACTTTCTAGAACAATGAGTGATGTGAATATTAATCAAAATATCCATCATAACCTGGATGCTGCAATTAGCTCTCTGTCTTCTATGATCTGGGTGAGCTACCTATTTAAGGAGACTGATGGATAAATAATAGTTTTTGTCCTAAAAACAGATACCTGTCAGACAAAGGCAGTCTTTATTATAAATCTCTGATATTTCATTCATCAATTCCCAATAGTTTGGGTATCTTCTCCTCCTCACAGAAAATAACAGAAATAAATTTATACTGACAGCAAAAATATTTTAGGTATTCAATTATAATAACTTAGTTGTCATATCATACCTTTATGTAGCACTTAACACTTCTTAAAACATTTTCTACTTCTTGGTAAAGGAAGTAGACCATCCTGGTTACCAATGCAAACGGGAAAGCTGGATTGGCTCACTCTGATGTCAAATTACTAGAAATTTCACTCTTATCTTTCTCTGTATTTCAAAAATTCTACCACTACTTGGCAATTTCTTCTCTGCCTGGTGACCAACCCAGTTACTAAGAGGGAGGATTACTCTCCTTAGAAGTTATGAAAATACATAAAGAGCTTTTAAAATAGTAGAAGGAAAAAATAACCTATAATTCTGCAAATAAAAAGCATACATTGCTAAAATGAAAACTGTATATCCTTGGAATTTTGCCTAAGAGTTTAAAAATATAATTGCATCATGTATTTTTTATTATTTTAAAATAACCTATAATTCTGCAAATAAAAAGCATACATTGCTAAAATGAAAACTGTATATCCTTGGAATTTTTCCTAAGAGTTTAAAAATATAATTGCATCATGTAGTTTTTATTATTTTAAAGTAACTTTAACAGATATTGACTGTTTAAAGCAAAAGCAATAAAATTCTTACATGTGAAGAGATAGTCACACTTCAAGGTAGCCTGTGATAGGTAAATATATAGAATCTTAAAGTAATCAATAAATAAAAATAAAATATAAACATATGCTAATGAGTCAAGATTCAAAATAAAATGGAAATTATAAAACATATTTGGCCTAAAAATAGACAAGGAAAGAGTAAAGAGGGACAAAGCATAGAGAGCTATAAGAAAATAAACCACAAAAGCATCATATAATTTTGTATTTGGCGTTTCAGTAAAGTGTAAATTACATAGCATTTTATTAAGTAAACATCATTTCAACGGAATTTGAAAAAAATTTCCCTGCACAAACATCAGAGTATCACAGGTATATAGTAAATCCTGTGAATCTTATTAGTCCTACATTGCTTACTAGGTCAATTTTAATTATTCACTATTACACACAGTGCTGTGAACATCTTTGTAATTAATATCCCATTTTTTCCATTAGGTCTTTAGAGTGGACTTTTAGATAGGGAATTGATCCACAGTGCATGAAACTTTGAAGTGTTTTTATACAAATTGCTTTAAAAGTCAGGTTTATATTTAATACACTCTATCAGCAGTGCATGCATTTCACTATAGCTTCTTCCTTATCAATTATCAAAACTTGTTTTTAATAATACAATATATGGCACTCGTCATTTTCTTGTTGTTTGAATTTGCATATCAGGATTAGTTGAAAAGTTTGGAGATGATTTCAGTTGCTTATTGACGGGGAATTTTTCTTTTTAGTATATATAGTTTTTGTTCAGATTCATCTAGAAAACCCCATGAGAATGAAAAACATAATTCTACCATTACATATAATTACAATGATTCAATGAAGTGTTTATGTTAAACTTTGGAAAACAGCAGTCTTCATTTGGAAGTGATAGAGATGTAGCTGGTTGTCATGTCATATTTTTATGTTGGTTCATGGATTCTGGCCAGTCTCACTATTAGTTGGCACCTTAGGGAAATTGGAAGATGCAGAGTGTGGGCACATCCACCTAAAAGCTTCATAACCATTTACACATATAGTGTCAGCGACTGTTCCATGCTCCGTATATATATTAACTAGTTTAATCCTTAAACTCTAAAGAAGACAGAAACTGCTGTCCTTTTTACACATGAGGCCCAGAGCACTTGTGTTACTTACCCAAGGCCATATAACCAGCCTGTCATAGAGCCAAGACTCACATTCAGACTCTGAAGTCTGGTTCTAAAGCTCTTAATCACTCTGTTTTCTTGCGATTATGAAAAGTTCAAAGCAGAATCTCAACAAGAACCAAAAAAGAAAAGAATCAGTAACAATGAGCAAAATTAAGAGTAAAGTTGGACAAATGTAATTTATAAGTTTCTCAGACGAAGACGTGCCTGACAAAAATTTCTCCCATAGAATAAATTGAAAAGCCACAGACATCACAAACAAAAAGTATGTGAGGAATAACACCTAGTTTGAAGGTTATCATAGAAATAAAGACTGTACTAGAAACCACACAGAATTTTCTAAGTTATTTGAGAATGTTAAAATGAAAGACTAAGATGTGCCTGGATGGCACAAGGAGAAAGTGAAATAAAGACACTCAGTTGCAAGCACAGGAGGAAAATATTAGAATAGCACATCCCAAACACAGATGGATTTCATAAACCGGACAATAGTGCCAGAGGTAACAATAGATTAGAAATAGAACACTGCTTTCTCATCTATAAACCAAAGAATGCCAAACATATGGAAGGAAAAAAAGGCACAGAAATCATACGTAACCTCCTTAGATTGGGAGGTTCTCCAAAGAGACTCACAGGAGCAATCTTACAAGCAAGGCAGCTGCTTATATTTGTAAACCATAAAAACCTGTTCAGACAATCAAAAAGAAAAGCTTTCATTTGAAGAATAGAAATGAAGGATGACCTTGAGTTTTGCAGAGAAAGCATCAGAGAACAAAAGGCCAGGTCGGTAGTGAAAAAAGCCTGTTTCTTCCTCAGAAATAAGTTCAAGGTTATTTCAATCATAATATGAAAAAACAGAGTGAAAGCTAAAAAAGAGAATATGTTTTCAAGTTACATGAAAGAAATGCATTCGTATGAAGCAATTTTCAGTGCTTTTAAAAAAGAAAATTATTTAAGTATACCTATAAAATTGAACATATTTTTATTGATTGATTATTATTATTTTTCTTATATCATTGTTCATTTTTGTTTGATATTCTATTTCTCCCCTCAGGTGTAGACCCTATAGTTCTCCCAAAACCATGGCTCCTGTGATCCATACCCATAGATTCTTGGATGTTTGCTCCTCCTCTCTCATCCCCAATTTACCCATTATACCACACTCATTTTAAACATTGGTCAATATGTGCTTACATAATACTAGTACTCCAACCAGTACAACCTTCATGTTGTGACAAAAGCTACTAAATAGCAGGGTTTCTCAGTTTTAGCACTACTGAGATCTGGGGAAAGACAATTCCCCAAAGAGGAGGTGTTAGGCGCTGTCCTGTACATTGGAAGACGGTGAACAGCACCCCTGGCTGGCCTCAACCCACTAGATGCAGTAACACTTTTGGCCAGTTGTGACATCAAAAATGTTTCCAAATATTACAAATGCCCCTGAAGGACAAAATCATTCCCTGCTCAGAACTAGTTTGCTAAGACAACATTGGTCAGAAGCTGATTGTTTAGAAAAGTTATAATGCACAAAGGTAAAATATTCATATGGTATTAGAAAAGTTTCTGTTGTACTTCCTATCCCATGCCCCAGAAATGATTTAACCCATTTCTGCATTTTATTTTTTAATTTTTAATCAAACTAACATATTAAAAATCAAATACTAGTAAAAGACATAGCAAAATGTTCCTTCAGTTTCCTTCTCTACGATGCCTCAGAGGCAACAACTTTTAATCTTTTAACTTTTCTTCATGTTTCCTTCCATAACTTTAGATAATATATTTACCCTGCTGGCTCTTGGATCATCAAAGTAAGACACTACCTATTGACTTCTTACTTAGTGGGCAATATTCTTATAACTAACCCCCATTCTCTCAATAAGTTCATCCTCTTTTTTTGTTATATCAATAATCAAAGTTCAAGTTATGAGTATATGGGCCAATAGTAGTATGAGTGTGTACTATATGTTTTTCCTTGTATAATTTTTTTCCCTGTATAAAACCACAAAACATTTTTGTTTGCTTTACTTCTTTTCTATTTCTTTAAATACTTAACTAATCCCAAACTTTAATGTTCTCTCCACTTATTTAATTAGGACCAGATAACACATCAGTTCCATTTTCTTCCTGGAAATCTCAACTATCCACTATCTTTCTCCCATTTATCTGAGTTATTTGTTTTCCAGACTTCACTGAAGTCCTGGAACTTGGTTTCTCCATTGATTCCCTTTTTTTCTCTTTTATTCAATCTTGGATCCCCAAAAATATGTATCTAATTGTCCCCTCTGTTTTTATCTATTCCTTTAATTTAATAGACCACATGGTAGCTTTCATTATAAATAAAATGTTTGAAGGTTGGTGTGTCTAGAGATATCTTTATTCAACTCTGATACTCTGATTTATAGTTTATCTAGACAAAGAATCCTACATTGAAAACCATATTTGTTTCTCAGATATTTGAAGGCATTTCAATTACTTTTCTATTAATTTTATTTCTATTATCATTCTATTATTTTTTAAAATAAATGTAGCATTCATTCAGAAAAAATAATGCACATAAGTGTATCAATTCATGAACTTTCATAAAGTGAACAGTCAAGTAACCAGGATCTATATCAAATAAAAGAATCGTTAGGCATAACATAAATCAAGACCTATAAGAGAAAAAATGGATTGATTGGTTTTCATGCACATTAAAAAGGCTAAAAACACAGGCCATTATTCATATTGACTAGTAGGAATACTTACAAATACATATCCCAGAATATATGTATATTCTCTAAACCTAATTATAGGAAAACAAATGGTTGAATTATGGATAAGAGATCTGAACATAAATTTTATTCTGATGAAGAATAAACATTTGAAAAAAATTAGTATCTGTTATTAGGAAAATGCAAATTAAAACTAAAATAAGATACCATCAAACACCTAGTAAAATAGTTAAAAAGTAGTGGAGGCCTCCCTGGTGGTACAAGAAGTTAAGTCTCAGCACTATCAAACTATAGGCAGCCACTGCAGCAAGAGTTTGATCTCTGGCTAGGGAGTTGACCCACAGCAGACCTCTCCTGTCTCACCCACTGCTCCCTACAACAGTGTATTTCAGTCTATCAGCCTGTTTGCTCACCACTCTATCGCTGGTGAATCCTCTCATCATCCCCAGCACTGCTGACCTGTATACCAATTCTTGTATGCACACACACACACACACACTCATATATAAATACATACATGCAATAATTTTTTAAAAAAGATTTATTTATTTATACATATGGAACTGGGGTACAGGCCAGAGGTGCAGGGGTGGTAAGAGGATTCACCAGACATGGAGTAGGGAGCAGAACAGGCCAACTGACAACACTGCTGAGGGAGCAGTGGGTGGGTCAGGGCGAGTCACGTCCAGGGCAGGGGCTTGAACTTGCACTGAAGCAGCTGAGGCTGGCCTGCAGTGCTGCGTCCCAACCCATAGCACCACCAGGGAGGGCTCCATAAAATAAATCTTTTTAAAAATACTGACAGTACTAAATGCTGATGAGGGTGCAGAGAAACTGGATCTCTAATTCTTTGCTGGTAGGAATCTAAAATGGTAAATTCACTTTAGAAAAATGTGTGGCAACTTAAAAAAGGTCAAACATACATTTACCATATGATCCAGCAATTGAATTCTTGGGCATGTACCCTAGAAAAATGAAATCATACATTCACCCAAAACTCAATATGTGAATGTTCACAGTAGCTTTCTTTGTAATAGCCCCAAACTGGAAAGTGCCAAAATATCCTCCAACAGATAAATGTGGAACATTTACTAAATAGACTATGGAACATTCACACCACAGAATATTACTTAGAAATATATATACATATATATGTATATAAACTACCTTCAAAACTCATTATTATTTATAAACATTATAGTCCAACCTCATTAATGTTCAACTGCAATAATATTCTTTGCCAGGCAGCACACTCACATACTTCATGAGATTGAGAGTTGACTAGCTAATTATTTCTCTGAGATTAAACTCAGAACACAATCTCAAAGTCTTATAACCAATTTTCTGTTACAAATAAGATATAGAATATATAAAATATATGGAACAATAAATATACAAAGTATCTAAGATACAGCTATTTTAAACTATATATCAATTGTTATGTTGTGTTATAAAAATGCAAAAGGAGGCCCTCCCTGGTAGCCCAATGGATTCAAGTGCACATTACAAGTGGGCTGCAGCCCCTTCAGAGCAAGTTTGATCTCCCGCCCCAAAGGTGATCCATATGGCACAGCAGACCTCTCCTGACCCACCTCAGCAGTGTACTTCAATCTGCCTGTTCTGCTCCCACTCTGTCTCTGGGGAATCCCCCCCCCTGCACCTCTCACCTGTACCCCAGTTCTAGATGCATAAATAAATAAATCTTTTAAAAAATGCAAAAGGAATGAATGAGTATACAGTGCAAAAGTCATCTCTAATCTGTCACTATAGTCAACCACTGTTAAAAGCTTGTTGCATGTCTTGGTTATCATTTCATAGTATTCTTTTTTTTCTACGGAGCACAGTGTTTGCTACTAGAATTGTTATTATACTGTGAGGAACTTTTGGTGGTGTCTTATCATGGGCAGGGAGTGATGAACAGGGTCAACAGGTGGTACCTTCTTTGTGATGCCCGTGATGAATTTGACATGATCAGATTAATGATCTCCTTTCATTGTTAATATATAAAGATAAACTACATTTTATTGTTTAGTATGAATTCAACTGCAATAATATTCTTTGCCACTCAATACTTCATGAAACTGAAAGTTGACTAGCTAATTACTACTTTGAGATTAAACTCAGAACAAAATCTCATTAATTATGTTTCAAATTTCTTTAAGATTACATTTTGGGTCCTCCCTGGTGGTGTAACAGGTTAGGACACAGTACTGCAAGTTGGCCACAGCAGCTTTAGTAAGAGTTGGATCCCTGGCCCCAGAGGTGATCCACATGGCATGGGAGACCTCTTCTGAGCTGCCTGCTGCTCCCCTCAGCAGCGTATTTCGTTGATCTGCCTATTCTGCTCCCCACTCTCTCTGGTGAATCCTCTCACCACCCCTGCACCTCTGGCTTATACCCCAGTTCTGTATAATAAATCTCTAAAAAAAGATTACATTTAAAATATAATTCTAATATATTATTATTATGAGATATTTAATCAACACAAATTAGTAGTATATAGAATAGGTTGTTAGTTTCACTCTTTAAAGAGAGCATCTTACCTCACTGCTGCTGATGCTTTGCAAGATTATACTTTGGTTTTTAGTAACTATCATCATATCATTAGAAGAAGAATTTATATCATGACAAATGTCAAGCAGTGACTCAGCATGTCTTTCTGCAACAAGAAACATAGTGATATATTTTAATAAGACTCCTCTCCAGCAATTTCGAAGGAAGATGTAATTCTAGGTTCTAAAATTGACTCAATTTTGTCAAGGATTTTCCTGAAATAGTGCTCTGAAATCCAGATGAAGTGCCAAGTAATACTTTCTACAGGAAGAGATGTGAAGACAAGAGTTCATTGAGTGGATGGGCTTTTGTTAGTTATAAAGAAAAAAAGTTAGGCTACAGTGCTAAGCGAAACCCCAAATAAGGCCAGACATGACATTTGCTCTATAGTTGCCAAAGACAAAAAGCATTCAGTTGTTCTGGGAACACTTCCTGTCTAGCTCCTGAAGCCACATTAAGCTAGCAAGAATTCTCAACACCACGTTTCTTCAATAAAAATTTCTTCCTTGAGTCGTCCCTGGTGGTGCAACAGGTTAAAGCACAGCACTATGAAGCAATCCACAGCCACTGCAGCATGAATTCAATTCCCGACCAGCGAGATGATCCACATGGCATGACAGACATCTCCTGACCCTCCCTCTGCTCCCCTCAGCAGTGTATTCAGTCAGTCTGACTGTTCTGCTTCCCACTCTGTTTCTGGTGAGTCCTCTCACCCCCCAGCACCTCTGGCCTGTACCTCTGTTACTGGATGCATAAATAAATAAATTTAAAAAAAAAATTGAATGGACTGGAATCAATACACTTACCAGAGTTTCTCCTACTCGGTTGGTTGTATTTCCAGCTCCTCACTTCTCTGGGTTAAAATTCTGGAATCAGCTTTGATTCACTTCTCTCCACTTTTGTCTTCAGGTGCTCTATTTACCTTACGTCACTAAGTTCTATTTTTTCTATCATAGTATCTCTTAGACTCGCCATACCTAGGACCTCTCACTCCCATCAATACACCATGTCCAAGTACGCTCCCTGGTTCCTACCATCACACAAATGGACACATCTGTGGTTTCTTCATAAAGCTCTCAATTTTTCCCCCCTTAATTCATTTATACCATAAGAACAGACTAATTTTTGTAAAGTATGACTTTCATCCATTTTCTGGCTAAAAATTCTTTAAGACTATTTTAATAGAAAAAAATGTTTTTCCATCTGACATCTAAGACTCACCCTCAATGGATTGTTATTTATATATCTAGTCGAATTTATTTTCCCTGACATGAACCTTCAGTTTCTGTCTCCTCATTGTCCCAGGAAGAAGCCACTCTCACTTACAGCATGCTACCTCTGCTCTACAAATCGAATCTCACCCTTTTCAATAATCATATTAAGTTTCACCTCCTCCATGAAACCTTCTTAGGTATATCCTTGTTCTTTGCCCAGAAGGTGTTTCATACAAAACACGAATTAATCAAGTCAAACAAGTTTCATAAAGTTACACATTGCTCAGTGTTGCTTTCTTCATTACACCTTTCTCTGGACATCTTTAGGTCTTTTCTCAGTCCTTTCCTCCCCACCTATGTCAAACCTGAGTGTTTTGTTCTTCTTCTATCCACATATTATCCAGACTTCAATAACTACCAAAGTTCCTATTCCTTTTTCAAATTCAAAAAAAGGGCTTTCTCTTCTGACTTAAGTGATTTGTCCCTGGTCATAATGAACACTTTTAAAAGTTTGGACTATCCCCAAGGTACCTAATTGGTAGTTTGAATTCTTTAAATGGCTCTATCACACAGATGTAGGGGAAAAAATGAGATTTTTAATAAGGCTCTTATATTTGGGAAATGTTACAAGTGTAATAGAAATACTTACCTGGTTTTGGCATAGAATTCATTAGAATGTCCAATAACTCCTGCTTTTTAAAGCTCTCTATTTGTGACACATAATGTATTGCTGATTTTCCACTAAAATCACAGAGTTTAGGATCTCTAGGAAGAACAAAATCAACATTAGAGATTACTTAGTTAAATCTGTTGACTGAGGAAACCAATATGAGAGAAAACACTGATAAAAAATAAATAAAATAATTTTCTGTACTTGCAGGATAACAATAAAGATTTTGAAATGTATGAGACACAAACTGACAGGTTTTCAAGATTTTAAAATAAAAATATATGCAATGTATCTTATTATCATTCCAATATTTGCAAAAACTTTCCAACTTGAGATAAAAATGTTATATAATTCTTTAAAGATGCATAAATCAAGTAAAAATTTAAAAAACATGCTGATAACTGAGTCTTGTCCCAAAATAGCTGACTTGATTGTTTTTCCCCCTAACTATTTACTTTCTTGCTATTTTTTCTTTTTTTTTAATGATAACAGCTGGTTCTTTTATCATCCATAAAGGTGGAATGGCATAGACTCTCTTTTTAAAATTAAGCTGACATGTTTATTTCCTAGGTTCTTTTTTTTTTTTTAAAAAGATTTATTTCTTTATGCATATAGAACTGGGGTACAGGGCAGAGGTGCAGGGGTAGTGAGAGGCTTCACCAGAGACAGAGTGGGGAGCAGAACAGGCTAACTGAGAAGTAAACTGTTAAGGGGAGTCAGGAGAGTTCTGCCACGCCACGTGGGTCACCTCGAGTGGGTGGGGATCAAACTCATGCTGAAGTGGCTTTAGCTTTTTAGTGCTATGTTTAACCTGCTGCACCACCAGGGAAGGCCTATTTCCTAGGTTCTAAGTTAGTGGGATTACCTTGTCATAAACCCCCTCTGTGTGATCTTCCCTTTGTCTGGCACTGGGCTTACTAAGTCCAAAAGTTGAACTCATAATTCTTTGTAGCAACACAAATACCTTCCTATCCTCTTTATGCTCAACTAAATCCTAGGACTAGGCATCATCTAAAAGAGTTCCAAGGGGTAAATAATGATGACATTATTGAAGATTAGCTGAGAGGGGAAAAAATGATTAAACTTTTTTAAACTAAACACATTTTAGGACAATAAGAAAGTTAATCAGAACTTCCAACCTAAAGCCTTTGAATTTGATTCTCTACTATAGTAGAACAGGGAGAATAATGTCTTATAATGCATAACAATATTCTCTTATGACTTTTTCTTTATCAAAGGTCATGATTCAAAAGAAATAGCACAGGTACAAGAATTTGGGGGTTGATCACACCTTCAGATGTAGTTTTCAGCAAGTCACTTAACACAATGGTACCTCAGTTTGCTCATCTGCGTTGATTTGTGTTTCTCTACATAGAATCCCTTTATCTCTTACATTTTGGACTCCACTCCAGGCTTATTGAACACCACTTCTGCTATGGTATCTAGTAATCTAGTTACATTTCTAACAATCTTTCGCTCTTTTCTTAATGAAGTCTGAGGTAACTGCAAACCTACAACTTCATCCTATTTCACAAACTGATTCTTTTATAATAGTTCATGTTCTTGACTATTCTTTGATTACTAAATCTTACTCTTCCTTTTTTCTTTTCTAAAACATATATATTGAGAAATACTGAGTAAGAGCTTGGGCCATTTGTTCTAATTTGATGGCAAGATATCTAAGTAAGAAAGCGCATTAGAAAACAGCAATTCTAACATGGGAGACTGCTTGTTAATTATAAGTTTTTTTTTTATTATTTACTTCCCTCTTATGAAAAAAAAAACATATGGTAAAAAAAAAGCATATGGTAATTTTAGAATAACTGGTAATCACTTTTATAAATTGCTTTTGATAGGTTGGAAATGCTTTTTGAGATAATTAGTCACATCCTGGGAATAAGGAGCTGCCTACTTGAGAATTATTTGACATTTACAATAACTATCAAAATTAGTATTAACAAAAATAAAACAAAGGGTCAATATCATAAAAATAATAAATAGCAATATATGACATCTATACATCACTTATGATTTAAATCACTAATTGAAGAGCCTTTATGAATGTGCATATAAATTTAATATATAGATTTAAAACATATATGTGTGTTTTATATACCTACATATGACATGTAAACACACATGCACATATATTACAAATGACCTCTGTAAATAACAATAGTTTAGATGCCCTTCCATTGGTGCTGACTGATGGCTCATACTCACGCATGATGCCTAAGAAGCTCAGACAGAACTTCCACTGGCCTGTAGACTGTTAACATATCAAGATGCTCAAAGAGGTCCACGTCCCTCACAGCCAGCATCAGAGGGGTCAAGCCATGTTGGTTTGGGAAATTTATATCCAGGAACTCTTCAGATGCCTTTAAAAACATGAAGCATTGTATCTGTTATGTTTTTACTACAAGGCTATTATCACCGATCTTTTCATTTTCATTGCTTGGCCAAGCTCTCATTTTAATTTTTTTGCAATATTAACCTAGGAGGTAGTTAATGAGGTGAAACACAGGCCTGAGAGACAGACAAATCTGGGTTTGAATTTTAGCTCCATATTTTGTTTTTCTTTTTTAAACCTCTGATAAGGTTTTATCAAGGACAGTTTGGGAAAGCAATGAAATCGCTCTGATTTAAAAAAAAAAAGGGGGTGCAAACAGGTAAGCAATGAACAATTTCAACGTAAGACATAATTATACTAAAAAAATTATTTGTCATTTATCTGAAATGCAAATTTAACTGAAGGTCAAGTAGTTCTATTTGCAATTCTTTTTACTGAACTTCAGAGTCGTCAGCTGTAAAGTAGGAATAATATTTGCAGGATTGTTTTGATGATCAGAGATAGAATATGAAAAACATTGAGCAGATTATTTGACAAATATTCAAAAAAATCTGTGGAATGAACGAATGATTTACAATAATAAGGTAACTCATTTAACTATATATTCAAATGGAAGTGTATATAGAGACTTATTTGTTTTTTAATGAAAATAAAACTCAATTTGGAAAATTCAGAGCTAAAAGCTACTGGAAGGCCAATTATACAAATCATTAATTTTACAGATCAAAATAACTCACTGATCTCCATCTCTATTTCATGTCAATAGGCCACATGATCTCCATCTCTATGCCACGTCAATATAGTCAGTGTCATCACCTCAGTTTCTCTAGAGACACACTAGAGATAATGCTATTACCTCAAAGGGGTGATGTGGGAATTAATTAGTTAATATTTTATTCAGTTTCTGAAAAGAAATTACCTCTTACATCAATATTTATTATTTTAGAACCAAGATCAGAATAGTCTTGTAATAGCACATTAATTCAGCATCCATATTTAAACTCTGGATCTAGATATAGGCACCAGTTTATTTAAAACTCAACTGTTAATTTTTGAGACTGAAATATGTGGTGTCATATATAAGATGACACCAATTGTTGCAAACGAAACTAACTGTATTTCTAAAAATGCCTAAGTTTTAATTTATGACATATGGCAATTTTAAGATTGTTTAATACAACAAAAGGATTTAGATTTTGTTGTATATCTCCTTGAACTCTTGGTGACCAGATTATCTTCACTTTTTCTTTATCTGTCTGTGTCTCTACCATAAGGGAATGGCAGAAACTGTTTCCTAGCAGCAATTGATTTTCTTTCAGTTGGAAGGTCATGTGATCTGTCAGTATCTCTGAAAGTAAATGCCAAGAGTAGGCAGTTGTCAGTCAACCATAATTAATGTCTTTGGTTTTACATATGATTTTGCACATTACTTTAGGACAGCGTACCTATGGGTAAAAAAATGCAAACAAATAGATCAATACCCAAGAAGACAGCATTTTAAAAATGTATCCTTTCTGTTTCTTTAATCACAACTAATGCAAAGCATATGCTTTCTGATTCCATTTTCAGGATAAAGATAACTGGTCTAAAGGGATCGAAACAGCAATTGTACAAATGGCAATGATGTCAAGGGAACGCCTCTGAGCAAGTTGACAGTAGATCTCCAAGGAATTGAGGCACATATCATTTCCCAGGGGTGTTGCATGACTTCTAGCATCCAGATAGAGGAAGGTGGAAATAGGCTGCTGCTGTGTTCTTTTATTAACTTGTTTTGCACCCCAGTGTCCTATTTGATCCTATTTCTTTCTCAAATTTCCTGCCTGAAATTCTCTGGGACTGCATTTAAAAAGAGTTTATTTTGTAATAGGGGTCATTTGTAGTCTGAACCCTTCTTACCTCCCACTTAACCACCCAAAGGCAGAAGCAAACATCAGTATAACTGACCAGCAAGTGTTGAAGTTGTTCAAGATCACCTTGCCATGAACTTTGTAGAAGCTGCTTTTGGGGAGCCTGGATTCCACTGATTGACAAGAGTTGTCTTTGTACATCACAATTAGCCACATGGACTGCAGTTTGATTGCTATAATTGCAAAGGGTTATATCTGCTCCCTTTTCCAGAAGAAATCCAACAACCTGCAATACCACAACATTCGTATTTAGTAATTTTGTTAGTATCAACAGTGTCTTCAAGGCTGGACAGAAAACTTAGATGTAGCTCCAAATGATGATATAGGAAAGGAGAATAAGAGGAGAAAAAAATGGTTGATTTTGAGGTTAGTGATTACCTTTTCCTAATCATTTTGCAAAACAAAATGATTGGTATGGGAATGCTATTTTTTAAATCTTATTAAAATTATTTTCTTACATTGTTGTTCGTTTTTATATAGTATTTGACTTCTCCCATTAAGTATAGTCCCCAGAGTTCTCCCACCATCATAGCATCCATGTATTCTTCCCTCCTGTTTGACTTCTTCCTTCCTGCTGTTTGCCTCATATCTATGGTCACCCTGCAGGTTTTATCATTTTTCCTGACCCTTTGTTTGGCTGCTCTCTATATAGTTCCACATATAAGTGAAACCTTTTGATATTTATCTTTTTCTTCTGACTTATTTCATTTAGCATTAGGGAAATACTATATTTTATAAAGAACT